AAGTTGCACAAAGTGGGAGGACGCACCTCTCTGAAAGGTTTCTGTCAGTGTCAGCCTTCCTCCTTTCACTTTCCTGCATGAAATAGGCATTCCTATGGAAGTGGTTTCCTCTCCAACCCTGTTCATTGCAGAAACTCAGCAGCAGCTGTCAGCTTAACCTGCAAATAAAGAAAAATAGAAGGAAAAATATATGCCAAATACATCCAGGGTAAGGTTTTATATGCAACAGCCATTCAGTGGAAACGACAGTCCCTCCTTTGCTTCCTTTACCTAGTCTCCCTCCGTCATCACTACAAGTAACAGGTACCAGGTTAGGTTCTTTTGTAACGTTGGTTTCAAGATGTCAACATGATGTATATAACAGAGAAATGTGAATATGTATTTGTTCAGAATCAAAAAAAGTAGTGCTCCGAGTTTGTGGTAAATAACTACTCGCCTCCGTCACATTTTTATTTGATTTGATTTTCTACCTTTTTTTTTTTTAAATTTCTGATGATGTATGTATGTATATGACTATCAGTGAGTGTGTATGTATGTGTGATTAATACTGTATATCTGGTGTTCTCTAAGATGGAAGATGTCCTATATGATTCTCTCCTTCTTCTTCTTCGACTCTTTTCAACCCTGCACAGTACCTGTGGGTGTTTCAGATGACTATGCCAGAGAATGGTTTTAGCGACTGCTGAATGTGATTTTACTGAGAGAGAAGCAGTGTGGACTGGCTTTTTGTACGGGTTAATTTAAAAAAAAAAAAAAAGGCCATATTATTTAATTTTCTCTGTTGTCAGAAGTTTAAGCAGATCTGGGAGAGTGGAGCCTTGGTTTTATGGAGAAGCATTGCCCAGTTGAGCTGGATGTTTTATTTCTTTCTGTCTGACTGATGTAGCCTCTCTTCTTCTTCTTCTTCTTGCATTCATCGGTAGTAAATGACCAAAGCTTCAACACGTTTCATGGACTCATATGCAAACCTCATCATCACTGGACACAACATAATGTAGCGGCCCCCTTTATTTGGATTTCTCTGCTGCTGCTCTGCGTGTTCGTCCCTCCTGTGGCCTATCAGCAGCGAGCTGTGTGATGTCCCAAAGTTAGGTCAGTTTTTCGAGACGTCTCCACTTTTTGCCATTGAGGTCTTTTGAGCCTGAAGTGCTATCACTCGTTTACAGGAAGAGAAAAAAAACATTGCAACCCTTAGCTATGCACCTTACTGAAACAAGCATTTCCTCACCTTGTAGAGTTAACACTGGAGCATTTCATTTCATAGATATTTACAGTCACAACAAAATAATTTTTAAAAAGCCCACTCGATATCTGATGACCTTCACTTCTTCTTTTTGGTTTTTGGTTTTCCATCAACTGAATACTTTATACCAAACTTGAGGTGCCTCGTGTATATACTTTCTGCAGTAAAGATTGCTCCTTTGCTGTTTAACAGTAATAACCTTGTTAACCAGGGTTTTTTTAAAAACCTTTTTTCAACTTTATAAAAAAAAATACTGTATAAAGAAATGACTTTTTTACACACGTAGACGTTTAATCAGATTATTCCAGGAATTTGCAAATACAATCTAATTTTGCACTTTATATCAGATTTACTTGGAGTGAAAAGGCCATCAGTAACTGTCTCAATCAGATCAGTATTCAGAGATAGGACGTGTCCCCTGAATGTACCGAGAAGAGTTAGTCTTAGTACTTTAATTTGAACCTAAACAACTTCTCAGGTTCTTTGTGAAGAACTTGCCCGTAGTGGATACCCATTATCCCAAAAAAATCCTGTCTGTGTCTTTCTCTGACTTGCACCGACCGATCCTCAGTGTGAATACTATGCTAATCGTCTTCAGGTGACGTCCATCCCCAGGCGTACTGTTAAAAACCTCCCTCAGCTCAATTCGCACAACATTCCTGCTCATGACCGCTTTCGCCAAACTCTTTGCCATTCGCTTTCCTTTTTTTTTTCTCTTCACTGCTTAAAAGGTGTCATTAATGCAGCTGTGTTTTCTGTCTAAGCCACAGTGGTGACCTGACATAAATGACAGCACGCTAACTGTCCCTCGTGTTTTGCTTGCCTCATGTTTTTTGTGCTGCCTGATGTTAAGTATTTAGCAGGTTCCGTCTAATGTCTGGTGTGGGTAGCCAAGTTCACGACCTTTAACATTTTATTCCACAAAGCAAAAGTAGGCTTTTATCAGCTTATACGTGTTCTCACTCATCATCGGTCCAACATTTGTGCACCACTTGTACCTCTTTTCCACCAAAACAGTTCAGGTGCCTGAAGCCTCAGTTAAACAGGCCTAGAGACCGGTTGGTGACACCCTGACAACCACAGGTTGCTAGGGAAAAATCTTTACTCCCCAGCTGTTTGGCAGGTGGTTTGTGGAGGTGTAATTCGCTGTATTGAGAGGTATGTGTTACTGCACCGAAAACCTTGCAATTACTTTGATTGCTACCAGATTGTTGCAGTCGCATGTAATTTGCATGGAAGACTTGAACTACTCACCAAAAAGTTAGTGAAACTGTGACGAGTGCAACACAAACCAGCAACGCAGACCTTTGCCTTCAAAGTAAAAGTTGCACCTTTTGAAACATGGTGGTTGCAGTGGTAAGGTGCAGCTTTTAATTTCAAGGCAAGCGTTCCGTTTCCGGCTTGTGCTGCATGTTTTCATGTTTCACTAGGTTGTAGACAAGTCTATGTCTTCCATGTAAACTATGAGCAAGTTTTTGGTGCAAATCTCCACCAATCACTCACCACCCAGTTGGGGAATACTCCCCCCCCCAAGCAATTGGTGGTTGCCAGCAATTTTCCAGCCCTCCTCTAGTCCTGTGTGAGCCTTATCCTAAGGTAGCAAGATTCCTGATCCCAAACCGATGGGAGAGGCTACCACAAGAAATTCCTAGTAAATATGTCTCCTGTTATTTCCTTCTCATGGAAATGATCCCACCTTCTGCCATGTAATTCTACCTACTGAGTTGGTGGTTCAATGGAAACCAGGTCCAAGACTGCCTGTAGTTTTTATAACTCCAACTCATTCCTAATGGAGGTGTTCATAACTTTAAAAAAAAAACTACCACGCTATCAGCTGTCAGGTATTGTAAGCGCTGCCTTATTGGGTCTGAGGTTGGACATGGTTCATAGGCTTGTAATTTACTCACCACTCTGTTGTTTTGGGGGCGTTGATGCTTTCTCTGGAGAATTCAGTTAAAATAAAGACCAAGGTTCCACTTTCTCCCTTGTACAAATTAATATAAATAAATATATATATATATATATAAATATATATTATACATTTTACTCGTTTTGTCCAGTTTTGTATATTACACTCATGTAAAGTTTGTTTTTAAAGAGGCATCGGAGCAGCTATTACAAGACAATATGAGTGACAATGTTCATCTGGGAGAATTTTATGCATGTTATATTTTCTCCTCTTCTTCTCTCTTTGTCTCTTTTAATGCCCCTCAACCCTCCTCTTCAGGTGTGTAACGTGAATATAAAGAAATCTACCTTTTCTTTGGAATGTTGTAGACAATCAGTCTCAGGCCGGGTCCAGTCCCTGCAGGGAGTGAGAGCCCTGTAGGCTAACAGACAAACAAAACTTTCTTTTCTTTTTCTTTTTTTGTTTTTGTTTGTTTGACAATTAAAAACTCTATTTGCATCTACTGGAAGTCTAAAATTTGGAGGTTTGTTCATTCATATGTTCGTGGCTGCTCAAGTTTACACACACACACACTTCTCTACTACACTCAAAACACAAACACCTCGTGCATTTGATCCCTCTGCTTTTTTTCCAAGGTGAGGATGCCAACCTTGAGGAAATGATGCTTTGACTAACAAATCTATAACATCTATGAATGTGGGAATGCAACACATTGCAATAAAAGCACCATTTGAAATGCAGCGTGTCACTCCTGTATGTTCTTTATCTCCCAGAAATTGGAAGGTTGTTTCTGAGATTTTGCTAAACCAGTTTGCAGATGATGGTCTTGTTTATTAGCCCATACTACCAGCTACACTAATGAACCACTGTGCATTTAATGGAAACAAAGTTTTTTAGCATTGTGACAGGAAGAATGAATATGGTTTTCTAATTCTGAGCCCCACTTATAGTTTGGTAACAATGGTATCATGTTACTCGTTACAAGACGGTCGTCTTCAAGTTTACATAGACACATCGTGGACGTGAATGTCGTAACTTTTTCCAGGGTGAAATTATAGTACAGCATATATCTTTAATGGCCTAAAAATACAAGAATTGTTCACACAAGTTTGGAGAAAATCCTAAATAAACCCACAGGGTCAAATGTATACACATTTTAATAAGTAGTGCAGGGGGTTCTACAATGTGTTTTTTAGTTTGGTCAAGGTCTATTCTCGTTAGAGATAATATTTGACTATGACTGGTAGTTTCTCTTTACCAGCATAAAAAGTATATGTTCAGTCCAATGACTGTTTTCAAAATCCAAGGGACTCTGTGGGGATCTAAGAATTAGAAATGTAGATTTACACCAGTTAGGAACGTTTCTTGGAACCATTTCTAATTGACTGCAGAATCCAGCATCACCAGTTTAGAAAAAACTACGAAATTTATTCAGATGTGTGACCACCTTGCTAAGGTGTGAAAGAAAACCCTCAGATAAAAGGAAATTGGTTAGGTTGTTCAGGAATTACCAAAGCTCAATTTTGCCTTGAACTGGAATACCAGCACCACTGTGCTCAGTGGACTGAGAGGATGCAGATCAGAAAGCAATGTTCAGTCTGTAGTTAGAACCTGCAGGTGCACTGTGGCTTCCTGCCATAGTCCAGAAACATGCATATAAGGTTAACTGGTGATTCTCAACTGGCTGTGGGAACATGAAAGGTTGGCTCTTTTTTGTTAGCCGTGTGATAAGTCGCTAGTTTCTAGTGAGCTCTTGTCTCTAAATACCCAAACTGTCCATATATGATCAACCCATCACAGGCCAGGCTGATTGCAGAGCTTCTGTGCTGGACTTTAGTCTCTCCAGGACCTCAGGGGCTGACAGTGGTCGTTGACCATTTCGTCCAGCTCACTCTAATGAATCAGTGAGTGTTGTGTTGAATGCTGTTTGTGTGGCAACATCTTTCTGTCCTATTTCTTCCTTAACGTCTACAAAGTTATATGAACTTTACAACATTGGCAACTGTTAAAATAACAATTTAATCTGGTATTTTTCAAACATCTCACAGGTATGATTTCACTTAATCGCGGTATATAGTAGAATAGCTTACGAAAACAGGAAATGATTCTGCTCTGTGTGCGATCACTGGTCACATCCTGGTCACACAGCAGCCGTAAATGATAATAGAAAAAGGCAGTAAAATAAAGTGGATAAGATTGCACGCACACATTGCTCAACATTTAGCCGACATAGATACTGAAGACTGAAGCACGTGAATGATGACAACAGTACAGTGCCAACCAAACAAAATGTTTCAAACAGAAGCTACAAAGCTGGCCTTATTAAAAAAAATAATGTTATTTAAAAAAAAAAAAAGCAAGACATTACAGTTTGTGTTGCTTTACCACAAGGAAGAAAAGAGCAAAGTCAATGTCTGGTAAAGTTCAACAGACGTGGGCTTATTGCTTACTGCACCTCTACAATCACATCATGCGTTTACAATGACATTCATTCAACAGGAGGCATGCTGCACTTTGTGTCTCTACAAGTGTGTCTGGCAGACGATGTCGTCACTTGCTTTGATGACTTCTTTGTGATTTTGGTAGTCTCCTTCTTGAATGGGTTTCGTTGGATGCTTGTGTTCATGGTACTCCACTATCGGGTAAGTGATGGCGGTGACCACCAGCACAGTCAGCACGATGTACAGTTTATACTCCAAGCATAAGAACGTGCTGTAGGCGAAGGCGATGACAAAACCCAACGACTCCCACATCCGGTAGTTTGCAAACGCCGCCTCTTTTTCCCGCGGGAAGAGGATGCCGTAAAGAGCTGTGAGACAAGGGGGTAGGTGCGCCAAGAGAAGGTAATTAAGTCCAGGTAATAAAGGTAGTGACTGCCAGTAAGGCTTATGGCCTTTATTTCTACCTGCAATTGCTTCTGCAGCTGTAAATGTCTTTTTGGACTGGTTTTAAACTCCTGTGTCGTCAGGTCATGTTACAGAGTAACGCCGGGGTAATGTAACAAATTACTGTCTCCAATGAGTAATTAAGTAATTTACTGCGTTACATTTAAGAAAAATAACACGTTTTATGTAGCACTTTACTTTTTTTGAGTAATGACCCTTATGGCACTTATAACAATGGATTTAGTTTCTATGTCTGAAGAGCAAAGACAACATACAGTGTTTTAAATAGCCAACAGGGGGCGTAACCTGTGTGTGCAGAAGGACTTTAGATCCTATGAAAGTCTAGAGGAAAACCACCTTCTGACTGAGCCTGTAAACACTTTCCTGGTAAGTCACGCTTGTGAGTCATACTGAAGGAATTTTAAAGTTCCTTTTGTTACCATCTCCGTCTCCACAGAAAATTTAGTTTACGCTGGTTTAAGGTTCATGGTTTCAGAGTGCACACTGCAAAGCAGCATCTCAGGGGAGAGCCAGGAACAGCATGTTATCTTGAAAGGGAGATCAGCTAGATTCTTGCTCATTTTAAGCTTAAATTTGAGTTTTTTTAACTAAAAAAAATCCTCATTTCTGGGTGTACCTGTTAGTTGCCTCAGGTGGGCTGATTGGGTTTCTTACCATTAGTCTGGGTTTGCCAGATAGCATCTGACAAACCCCACAGAGCAGGAAACACAAAAAACACAACAAGCTGGTCACGATGAGGCCTCCAGTACAAAAGAGCAATGATGCAGCTCAAGTTCGTCAGTGCAGCTGAAAGTGGAAAGGAAAATAAGAAAAGAGGCACGAAATGTATTAATACAAACATCAACAACAAAACAAAAACAGGAGTCAACGGTCTTTAATTATTGTATTTTGTTAAAAAGGTTGTACCCAGGGCAAAGAGTGGAGCTCTTCCAGTGTGCTGGGCGAGTCTCCCAAAGAGAATTGAACAAAGGGAATTGGAAGCTCCAAAACACATCATTACAAAACCAACATAATGGATCCCCAAAGCACAAGTCACATAGTTCTGCGAAGAAACACAGCAGACATTTATAAGGCCTCACGTCTTATCATTATTGCTGTTGACAAAATTGGTAACACCTGGATAAGCAGTGGGCTGTTTTCAAAGAAAGTGTTAGTTCAGAGGAATGAATGGCTTTCCCAGGGCAGATTAGCATCAGAACAAACTGCAAGGCTTCTTGAACGATGTTCTTTGGAGAGATGAAACCAAAGAGGAAACCTTTGGGCATAATGTCCGCTATCACGTTTGGTGAAAACCAAATACAAAACATCAGCACAAACACCTCATACGAAATGTGAAGCACTGTGGTGGAGTGGTAATGATTCTGGCTTGTTTTGCAGACACAGGACTTGGGCACAACGCAGTCATGTATACTGAAGTACTCTAGAGTCAAATGTGATGGCATCTACCTGACAGATAAACTAGGCTGAAATTGTGTCATGCAACGGACCAATAATGCCAAGGACAGAAGCAAATCTACAACTAAATGGTTAAAAAAGAAAAGAATCAACGTGCACAATCAAAGTCAGACCCCAACCCAGGTCAGTGTTGCTGACTTCAGTTAATTGGAGATAATGTATCTGTATTCAGGAGTGGGACCACACCTCCCTTCACACCCCTTCTGGTTTTCCATCAATATATGACCCCCTAAGTCAAGCTGTACTGCGCTAATAATGAAAAGATCTAAAAAATTAGGCTAATATATCAAATCCTTTTATTTAACTATATGACTTAATGAAAACTGCACTAACACCTGAAAGCCTTCATCTTTTGGAGCAGTCCTTACCTTGGTGTACTCCCCTGAAAGGAAGCTCTGTTCAAAGCCGCTGTACATGGTGAGTGGGATGAGTGTCACCAGCCTCCAGTCCTTCAGGAGCCTGAATGTTGCCAAGAACGTGTGGCAAAACGGCTGCTGGCTGCCACGAAACTCGCTGGCCTGCTCACGGTCGATGTTGTCCAGAAACACGGCCACGATCAGGATGGCCAGCACACCCACGCCTGCCACACACAAAGAACAGTGATTCAGAAGACAGCTGCAATATGTTAGTCGCACCTTCGCGAGCGGTTGTGTGGTTATATAATTCCTTTGCTTCAAAGTTTGGCTGATTACTGATTAGCTAACACCCTCATTCAGGTGATTGGAAACTTTACCGATGTAGCTTCCGACGAGCGTCCACACCAGTTTCTGCTCAGGCCTTGTGGTGTTCCCATAAGCAGTGACATTAAGGCCGCAGTCGGCTGCTCCACAGCTTTCCAGCTGCTCCTGTGGGATGTCAACTGTCAGAAAAATATACAATTTGTTTAAGCGAATATATCACGACCAACAGAAAGAATGCAGAGAGAAACATGATACAGTTGCGGTTTTTGTTTTGTTTGCACTTTGCTAAAAATAATAATAATATTCGCCCTTTCTGTTCATCAAGGATGATTCAGTGTTACCTTACAATGTAAAGCTCTTTAAGGCAGCTGTTAAATTTAAACCCACAGCTGAAGCGTGACCGTACAATCACGTTTTTCTTGTTTATGTGCCGCGCATGCTAAGAACACGTGCGGGTGAAGTAAGAGGCACATTTTATAGCCCAGCTTTTACACGCTCACTGTAGCCCTTGAAACATCACAGTCACGCCTTTTCTTGACCTTGTGATGTTTTCTACCAAGGTCAAGGAGACGGCGCTAGAAAAAGGTGAATGTCTGACCCACGCTCACTGGTTCATTCTGCATATGCAGCCTTGTCAGCTGTCAGATTGTCTGTTTGCACTCAGTTTGTCCTCCTCTTGTTCCTCACGCCCCCCTTTGATTCATGTTTTGTTTGGAGTCAGTATATCCATGTTTTCTTTAACTTTTTTCCTTATCTGTTTGCAGGGCTCAGACACTAAAATCTTTACTTTTTTATTTGATCTAACTCAGTCCAGTGTCCCTAAAATACCAATGTTACAAAAAATCTCTCAATGTTTTGTACTGGAAGTGTGTTGGATTGTACTGGACACTTGGAATTGTCGTATCGATGAGAATTGTGTTGAAAATTGTTGGTAGAACGGCCAAGTTTACTTATTTTAGTCGATCAGCACGTTTAAACTGTAAAACTATAAAGATTTTGTTGCTGATAGTTTCGTTTAAAAACGTTTGTATCTAAACAGTGTCCCAAAGTAAGACGGAAATAAAACTGAAATAAATGTCTCTGTGGAGTCATTCTTCCAAGAAAGTCTCCTTTTAAACTGATAAGCAGAGAGTATTGACGCCATAAAGTAACATAGTGCATACCTGGGAACTTTAAACACACCTTTTCTCATACTGTCCTTAAATTGAACCATAAAATGATTGTAAGACATCACTTAAACCTTGTTCAGTGATGAGCTGAAGCTGGCAGCAACACAAGGCATCGTTTTAATATGTTAAATATGTTTCTTTAAGCAAGTTTTTCACAACTGAGCCAAGTGTCCTCTTTTTTGGAAATTAGTATGGTCACCCTACTTAAGCTAAACTTGTCAAATCTGAGTTTGTAAAATATTTTTAAACCTGTTTTACATCTTTTTAAACTCTAAAAGTCAAGCAAGTTTTGAGGGCTTTGACTGTTTCTTGCAGGCGCAGCAGCCTCGACACAAACTGAGTTTATACACAAGTACCTGAAGAAAAGACTTGCTAGTGTAAAACTCAGATATGCAGGGCTACCTGCTGTGGTGACCCAATTTTTTCAGGGTCACTTTTAGTGAAACCTGTTTTTTATTTCCTTGAAAAAAAAAAGGTAGAGTAACAGACTTTGAGGTACACCGTGTCTCCGATGTGTTACCTAATCAGCAGTGGCATTTAAGCGGCTGTGCACAGTGGATCAGCTGCTGTAGGTGCCGTGATTTAGTAACATGTCAGGGTCTCTAGAAATAATTTCCAGTCCAAAGCCAGAGGGAGATGTCACTGTAGTGACGTCTATCCTTTAAATATGGTCTATGGTTCAGCTCTGAGAAAAAAAATAGCAAAGCTGTGTTTGTTTTTTAATAGAAACATGTCATTTGTTATTTGTAATGGCGGTTTAATACTGCAGGCTTTGTATATGGAGCAATGCCGATAGGCTTGCCCATCGAATGAGAGAAAATACTTCATAAATAATACTTTGAAATACTTGAAACCCCACTGCACACGTACAACATTTCAATGATAAATAAGGAAAATGTGCAAAGTGTTGCACGCTGTTTTCAAGCTTACTACTGAGGAATTAAACTTACTGGTATAAACAAATAAAACTGCGCACTGCAACCCCAAAAAGTTAACATTGTACAACTTTCAATGCACAATTAATGAGGCAATTAAACCAGTCCTGGTTCAATTTAATCAAAATGTGACCACTTTTCTGCTGCCTACCAATAGCTGTGTCCTGTCCAAAGATGAGGGAAGACATCAGGTTTCCCCAAACAGCGGAAGACTGAAAGATGAAAAAGAAGATGCCGAAATAGTAGTTGATCACGTCAGAGCCTTTTTTGTTGTCTTTGGCGGCCTGCATGTTCCCAGATATGGTCAGGTAGGTGCATTTAGCCGACCACAGAGGGGAGCCACCCAACCCCAGGATCACGGAGGTGGGGATGAGAGTGTACCTGTGTGAGAAAGCAACACTTGGTCTCAGCTTCAAGACTTTTTATTAGCCAATGAGGTTATTGGACAAGACGTGTTGCAGTTGGGTATCCTATTAAAAAAATAATCTTTAATAACAGACATTAAAAAATTAGAACCCCAATTAGCCTCATTCATTTATTGTTTTTAATTGATTGTCTGGTTGATTACCATCCTGGGAAGAGGTTTCCGAACGAGTAGGACACGTAACAGGCCATGCTAACCACAATGGTCCATTTACAGCCCAGGTTTTTGATCATGATGGGGGGGAGAAACATGGAGGAGATGATGATGGAGGCGTAGACGACGCTCAGAGAGGCCACGCCCATCCCCTCCGCTGCATTCAGACTGCTCTGCACAGAGAGCAGAAACACTAGAAGTGTTGATCAGAGGTTCAATGTTATGAAGTCGACTGCACTATAATCAAAACAAAACAGTTTTTTTCTAAAAGTAGATAAATTTGAGTATTTTTTTATATCCTCAAAATATTTTTATATATAGTGAGCCGGCGGATTTACACACAGAATAAGTGTTTAAAATTCGTGCTTGGACTTTTGAGTGATGTAAGGATTGCACATAATGCAGCACTGTTTATAAATAGGGATGTTTCAGCTTTGCTATGTAGCCCAATCTATGTCTTATAAGCTTTGGGAAACACTTTGAATTAGTATTACTGTTACACTGACCTACATACTGATAATTACATAATAATTACACAATATCAGCATCAGTGTTTAAAGCAAGTTGATCATTAAAGGTGGCAATATTGGTGTAATATTATGTAAAGACTGATTGTGATTTGAAAGTTAATTA